AGCGTGATAGAAAAAGAGAGAGAGAGAGGGAGGGAGAGAGAAAAAGATATGGAAAACGAAAAGAGAAAAGACTGTGAGAGAAAACAAATGCACGTTGTAATCAATTTCAAAATATAGAAAAAAAAAACAGATGGAGATAGTTTAAATGTAAATCTCTTTTATATGATATGATTCAAATATCTAAATAGAATAGAAAACGAATAGATTTGTCCTTGCAAAGTACGGTTTCAACCGATCTCGAACAGTCATACATGCAAGAACTAATAAAAAATTAGATACGCATAATGATAAGAATAAAAACCAAACTTCGTTTGAAAAAAATTTTTTTTTATTTTTTTATTTTGTTAAGAATAATTTACAGTAAAACAAACACTACTCATAGGTAAACGGTGGTCGCATAATTATTTTTCTAATGGTTAAAAATTTCTACCAATCATATCATGATGTTCTGTATAAATATACAAAAATGTCAAGATTAGTCTTTTCTATATTAAGCACTTGAAAACAAAGCAAAGTATCCAAGACACTTACATTTTTTTTTTGAAAATATACTCTGTTTTGTATCTCACTGTTTGAGTCGATCAAAACGGATATGAATTATGATCTATTTTATAGCAGTAAACGGTGACAAAACGACAACTCTTTATATCAGTAAACAAACTATATTCTATCATAATCTTATCTACAATAATAGGGCAGCACATATGTGCCATAATCGTACTACGACAGAATCGTATTTTTGCATCCAAAGATGTAGACGGTATATGGACCATTTCTCAATCTTGTTTTTACTGTAGATAGCTGTAATTTTTGACTTGGTTGACAAAAACATCGTAATGCATTGATAATCTACATTGTAGAAACAAAACATTTGCTTCTTTGTTACAACATTATTAAGAAACTGTTTGTTTTAATCTTGTTGATATATTCTAATTATAAATGAAGTCATTTCTTTTATTCTAACGAAATTTATTATTGAAATTTCCCTTTTTCTTGTTTCTTAAATATATTTTCTTCATTAGTTCTTTTCGGATTTATTAAATTAGGAATTTCAATCGAATCCAAATCATAGGCTTGCTATGAATATATTAACTTAATCAGATGAATATACGTCGACTTTTATCATCAACTGTATTTTATTTTTCTATACTGGCTTTGTTTTTTACTTGCATTATACTTTATTATGCAGAATAAGGTGTCAACAGATACTCTGTTAATGGAAACAAAGTTCCTATTTATATGTGTTTCAGATTTCTAATGGGAAATTTGTGATTCAGTTATAGTACACACTTTTTGATCACTGAGTTTTGCGCGATTTTGATATAATCTTTTGTGACCTTTGTAAGACTTAAAATGACTTCCGATAGACTTTTCCTCAAGCAATTTAACGATAATATGGATCAAATACAATTATTTACGCTAATTAGCAACATCACATTAAACATTTCAAATTCAATTTAGTTGCAGAAAAGAACTAATATTTTTCCACAATGTCAGACATAATGAAAAATATTGAAAAAAAATTAAGTAGTTCATTTTTTTTGATGGCGCTTGTGTCGCTATGAGATGGTTTAGTTCGATGCGGTAATTCTATGCTTCATCCGAAAAGAACATCAAGTTCAGAGGTTTTTTAGATTTGGAACTTTTCGGAAACGCCATCTAGTTCAATAGATTGTTAAACCTGTTTCCAATAGAAGATCCAATTTTCCTTTACTCATCAAAAAACTTGACATTCTAGTGAATTCACTATAGAATAGTGTCTATCTCCTGATGGAATCGAGTGAAAATCATAAAACACTTTTAAAGAGAGGTGTCAAATTATATTAAATATGATCCTGCTTTCGAAAACTTTCGAATCTTTAATATTCTAAGCACGACATTCGTGAAGGCTATTGAAAGCATGATGTAAATTGTTTTTGGCGGTTTTTATGGCAAATTCCGATAGAGAATGGAAACATAGCATCGAACTCTATGTATGACTACTTCGCACTAGCTCTTATATTCAAGGAACTTATTTGAACTAAATTGATTGGAAGTCAATGTAGTAAAAGCGTAAAAAACAGATCGAAGAAAGTGTTTCGTCAGTCATTCAGAGTATCATGAAGGCCAAAAAGATCATATTGAAATTGTGAAAAATAAAGTAGCCAGAAACGGTTTGCAATAACCGATTACAATATTTCGTATTGAAAAATATCACTGGCGAAACAATGGTTATCTTGATATACGTTGTTTTATAGTTCATTTTCTTTAATGTATTGATCTATCACCAATTCATATACGATTTCATTATGTATTAAAAAAAGAAACCGTGATTTAAGTTCTCACAGTGCTTTGACTGATACAAACATTTTCATATGATAATAATTGCAATTCCTCAGGGCCATCACCGTTATGATGTCGTAAGTTTTCTTCAATGTTATCGTCTTGTATAGAAATTATAGGATGCATAACGTTGTGATTTTAAATAATATCAACAACAAATTTTATACCAGATTGAAGCACATCGAATTCAAAAAATTCCTAAGTTTTTACGCTCAATCAGCAGAGATAAATTCCCAAGGGGAAAAAAGCTCATCTCGAGCCATTCGAATGGCTAGGGATGGATCGGAATTGATTGGAATAGCTATGGAATGGATAGAAATGTGTAATTTTCTCATAACTTTAAATTCGAATTTTAACGTCTTAGTATTTCTAGAATCGTCAATTTTTAGTTCTAGTGACTGTGTCAATTAGGGTTACAGATTCGGATTCGCCGACCATGATTACCTTCTGTGATACTTTATAATGTTTTTTAATCCCACGACCTTGGACCTGTCACAGACAAACTCATTTTATTTCATATGATCCTCCTTTCAGTCGAGGGAATAAGCTCATGAGAAAAGCTAACTTTAAGATGCAAAGCAGTAATTTACAAAAGTTGGGTATAGATGTGAACGATTTCGAATAGCTCAGATTAGATAGGATTGGACAGGAATGGATAGGAATGCCCGAATGAGTGTTTCCCCCTTGTTCTACTCACTGTTATCGACAACTAAATTGTATATGTGTTATTTTTTATCCTTCAACGTTACTTGAAGATTTTAGAAAAGCAATTATTAAGTGTGAACAAATGAATGTAATGTAGAATAATCCGAAATCTCGGATATCGCGTGCCACCTAGATTATACGAGAAGAAGAATTCTAATGACTTAACAGATCGATTAGAGGATTCTTACTAAAATTAGCGTCACTTCAGAAGCGTTTGTAACTTTTTTGGAAATTGGCCAACAAAAAAATACGATGACTTTGCTCAAGAAAAACAAAATATTTTTCGAGATTTGTGGATCAAACTCATGCTGCCCTTTCAGAATACAACTACTTTACATTTCCAAATGAATTTTTCCCCATCGCATCGATGTTTCATGTACTTAACATATGGATATAGTGTGGTTTTCAATCAATAAAAATCTATTGATTTTCGCTGTTTGATATCGCTACTTGTGAATATGCGGTAGCTAAGTTTAACATTATGTAAATTGAATTCGATGAAAAATTGTAACCTTCGGAAAATGGCAAGTTTCTAAAGACAGATACTGTCATTTATAGAAATGATACAATAGAGTAGAGATGAACCATTTGCATTAACTTAAAGTTAAGCATTTAGAAGAAAAATATAATACCTGGTGTTTAATGTTAAATGAAATCACTTAAGTAATGCAATTTATTCAGTCTCGTTAAATAAAATAGTCCACTCCTATATGACAGTGCTTCGGAGTGAATAGGAATGGCTGGGAATGCCGGGGAATGCACAAATGAGTTTTCCCCCTTGTAAATTCCCTTCTTCAGGCAGTTCAAACTTATGAAGCCGAGAAGAATGACAATCAGATACGGAACACAATCATTTTGATGAAGAAACTTTTAACACACATGAAAATAAATATTGCATCTTTTGAAATTATTTTATGCTCATATCCATCTCATTTGTCTTCTATAGAAACGCTAATGCTCATCATACTGATTGTTGATTATGTTCATCAAGTTTTAAGAAATAAACATTACTTTTTGATATTCATCATTTTAAATGGGATCTGGTTTAAATTGCCTCGCGAAAGGAATTTTTCTCAGCTAATTTGACGTAGAATTTTAGGAATTATCTAAATTTGACACTGAAAATTTGCATTAACGCTTACTATTTACTGTTCGTGAATCCAATATTTGACATGTTTTAATGTCGTTTAAAATTTTTTTGTTGATGTTGTTTGGAACTCACAGTGTTATCCTCTCTGACAAAATATTTTCACGCACTCTGTACTTTTACGAAATGTAAATTATTCCTTAAAATTCTCATAGTTTTTCATCTACTTAAAGTCATCTTCACATTTTCTCTTTGTTCTTTTGTAAGATCACATTCAAGTCATTCTCTTGATCTATTGACAGTGTGTACAAAGAGCAAAAAAAAATGTTTTTTTTTCATAACTTACAGAACACGTAACGCGACACAAACGTCACTATCCCTCTACTGAAAGGATCTATGCCGTTGTGCATAACGTGGGTGAACACACGAGCTACGGACCTACTATTCTCACATATACTTAAAGGAACAAAGGATGTGGGTGTGGGTGTGGGATGAAGTGTGGAGTGTGGGGATGGATATGGATGTACGTCTGATCGAACTGAAGACTCACCCACACCTACTCAACCCACCCACACCCTAATGACTCACTGTCGATATATTATCACAATAATACTGCGGAAATGTCTAGAGTTTTGTTATGTTTGTTATAAAAAGTTGGCAAAACTCTTACCCTGTAAAACCGACAAATTCCATTTTTGACGAGCATTCATTTGGTATAAAATTTGTTATTAGTGCTGTTTAAAATCATAGCGTTATCTCCCTGGTAAATCATTTTTACGCACCCTGTACTGTCGAGCCAAATGAAGTTCTTTGTGATAACTAATATAGAGTTCAACATGATGATACATAAGCTACTCCTAAAGTTCTTGAACAATTAGTACGACTTATGCATATAACTCATGAAAATTTATTAAAGTATCGTGGCATTGCTCTTGAGTATGATCATATATTATTCTTTATGGAGTATTGTAGTCATGGTACAATAGCTCAACTTTTACTCGGTACCTCATCGTCTTCATCATCATTACATATAGATACACGTTGTCTATCAGCTTCACTTGTTTATTCATTAAATCATACATCATCTGTTGATAAAGATATTATACAAATAACAGCTGATTTTGTTTTTTTTTGACGAATATCTTGTTCAAGGTTATTTAAGACAATTATTATCAGCATTATCATGTTTACATGAAAAAAGAAATTATTCATTGTGATACACGAATATTAATATATTTTTAAAAGATTCAACAAAATAATCAATTAAATTAGGATGATGTTAATTTTGTTTATGATTCTAAATTTATGAAAAAACAATCATTATTACTTGATATGGAAGTTATTGCTAATATACGTGAATCAATTGTTTTTTTTTATGCCCCTGAAACTATAACACAATGAAAAAACAATTAAATCTGATATATGGTCATTATATTGTACAATTGTTCATATATTAACAGGTTGTATACCATACAGTAATTCATCAATAGCATCAAGTGCTTATTATCGGCAAGTTATTAATTGGGTTGCTAATGGTGTACAACGAACAATTTCAACTGATTTATGTTTAACAAATGAATGTATTGGTTTTTTTTGAGCAATGCTTCCGACATGATCGTAACCTACGATGGTCATCTCTTGAACTTCTTGAACATCCATTTGTTAAAGAAATATAAAAGGTTTTTTTAATTTATGATTTGTAAATAGATTGATTTCTTCTTTTAGAATTGGTAATAAAAACAAAAAGAATTATTTTCATGTTCAATTTTCTTAATGCTTTGTTTCATGTACTTAAAGCTTTACTAAATAATAAAAAAAAATTCTTATGATCGAAATGAAAGAAATATATCGCTGCTATTTAAGACAAATGAGCCTGTCTACGTAAAACGGTATTCCGTCACGCTTTGTTTGTTTCATTATGTACAAACTACTCAGTGTCTAGGATCAAATGTTTTTGCAGTTTTGGACCAAAAATTGGGCTTTTCAAAATGAGACATTGTAAAGCTGTCCACGATTCCTTATTCACTACAAACAGAGCGTGACGGAATAACCCCTTCCGTGGACAGGCTCAAATCTTTCATTTACGGCAACTATTTCAGTAAAAGAAAAACTCATTCCACGGCTACTTTGTTTTCAACACAACTTGTAACGTTTGACAAAAGTTCATCAATAATCAATTTTATTTTTTTTAAGAAAATAGAAATATATGCATTCTATAAAAAATATGTGCAATTATCAACAATATGTTATATTTTGTAACGATAGAAAATCTTTTAAACAGATTCAAATTCTTTTTGACATTGTATATATTTATCTTTAAAGGCTCGTGTTGATAATTTTATTGTTGATAAAACTTTTTCAACATCAGTTGTTGTTATTGAATCAAGTTGAATACATTTACCTAATTCAGGATCTAAAATAAATTCGAAAAGAATTTTCATTAAAATCAAAAAACAACATCATTTAATACCATCTTGAAGAGTTTCAAGTATATCAAATACTTGTCGCAATAGATTCATTGCGGCTTCTTTACATACAAGTATGATATCCACACCAGAATAACCCTCTTTAGACTGGAAAAAACAAATTTCTTAAATATAATTCAATTTCTAATCATACGAACATTGCTCAATCGCTCATAATCAAGATCAGAATATCAAACAAGACCATTATTTTCACAAATAACAGTTGGTGGTAAAAATTGTTGAAACATAGTTTCTTGGGCTTCTTTTGTTGACAAATCAACTAAAACACGTTTTTTTAAACGCCTTAACGTAGCATGATCAAGTTTCCTAAAACATTTATCATTAAAAAAACTATATAAATATATTAAAAAAAAATCCTAACCAATGTAAATTTGATGCAGCAAGAAGAAAAACAAGATCATTTGTTTTAGCTTGGTGCATCAAGTTGAACAAGTAATTCAGTTTTCATTCTTCGACTACTCTCATGTTCACTATCAAAGAAAAAAGAAATTTTTTCCAATAGATATAAAAAAAATTGCATTCTTTTTTTTCCGTACGATCTTGCATTATCATCACTGCCATGTTGACTCATTATTGCATCAAGTTTATCCAAAAAAAGTGCTGATGAAGCATGAAATCGTGCTGCTTCAAATAAAACGCGTACAAGGTTTTCCGAAGCATCAAGCCATTCGATAGCAATAGTTAATGCTGATATATTAAAAAATGTTGTTTTACATTCAGTTGCTACTGCTTTAGTTAATACAGTTTTTCCTCTACCAAGTAGATCATATAACAGTAAGGCTTTCCATGATTTTTAGTATACCAGTAAATAATTGTGCATATTAATCAAACAAAAATGATAGTTTTTTTTGTTTTTTTCCTTTTGTATTTATTCCTACTTGTATTGGATAAACAATTTCTTCTTTTATAGTACGTTTAGCTGCATCAGATCCAATAAGAGAATCCCAATCTACACTTGGATCATGAAGATAGATATCTTTGAAAACAAAATTTTATTTCAATATGCGTTTGTAGAGAATTCTCACACTTGTATGCTTCTCTATTTAAAAAGGAAATCACAAGGATGTCAACAAACATTTATTAAGAAAGGATAATCAAAAATAAAATGAATAAAATATTAGTTGCAATGGTACTCATATGTTAGTTTCATTTTCACAAGTCCTTTGTTATGCGCTATTTCTATTCTTTGGAATAAAATTTAATAAAATAACAATGTACAAGTACTTTAGAATCTAATAGAACTTCAAATTCTATTTATCAATTTGATCGAAGCAGTTCCAAAGAAGCCAAGCAAGGCTCCGCATGAGATGCGACAGTCTCATCCTATTAGTTCCATGGAATGCAATACTTTTGAAAGACGTCACATAGAATAAATGGAACAGAAAATTTTCGAAGAAGGTTCCATTCCATTCCGTTCTATTATATGAAACAAACATCTTTTATGTAAAGCTATTTTTTGTTAAGAACAATACAATCATTTTGATATAGATGTCATTCTCGCTTATTCGAGCGAAATAGTCTAGGAATGAAGAAATCATATTTTTCTACTCTGTAGATTGTTAAGTAAATTGATAAGTTTGTTAAAGAAGTATACCTTTTTAAGAACATCCTCCCTTCTTTTTTGGCCTAAAACTCGATTTCGAGTTGGTCCTAAGATATGCTAACCACAAGTGTCATGTACCCATGGAAAATTTTTTTTTGTGAAAAACCGCTCGAAACCGCGGTATCACAAACTGCGGTAATCAACGGTTTTCGAAACCGCGAAAGTCAGACCTTTTATGCGGTTTTTCAAAACCGTCAAGAACCGCAGTAATTTCACACCACGGCTTTCACCTGTATTCGAAACCGCATAAAACGTCTGACTTTCGCGGTTTTCTGAACCGCTAGAAACCGCGGTTTTCATAGCCACATCTGACTCAGGTATGACCAGACTAACCTGAACTTTCGAAAACGTTCAGGTGAGCCGCCCGTCGAGGGGCACTGTAGTGAACTTTTAGAAGTTCCATTACCACAAAGTTACATTGTAGTGAGAGATAGAATAAGAAAACTTATTTAAAAATTTCATGAAAATATCAGGGCATGACATCTTCTTCGTCCTTACACATTCCATTACGATGGTATAAGCACCAGACATACCGCGGTTCTTCAGCTGAAAACCGCGGTTATTCGGCGGTATACCACGATTTCTAAGACTGCTGAATACCGTGGTATTTGTCATCGCGGTTACTGATGTCTATACCACGGTTTTTGAAACCGCTCAATTCTGTGCTATTTACCACCGCGGTTACTTATGACTATACCGAGGTTTTTGAAACCACTTAATACCGTGGTATTTGCCACCGTAGTTATTGATGGTTATACCGCGGTTTTTGAAACTACTCAATTCCGCGGTGTTTGCCACCGCCGTTACTAAGGACTATATCGCGATTTTAAAAATCGTTGAATACCGGTTTATGCAATACCGCGGTTTCCAATAACTATATCGCAATTTTTTGGACCGTTGAATACGGCGGTATTTAGAACCGCGGTTCTGAATATGAGCACCGCGGTTTCAGAAAACCGCAGTTCAAAACAACCGCAATCAACCGCGGTTATCCAATCGAAACCGCGATTTCCTCTAGTAAAACCGCGGTCGAATGAAAAAAAACCGAGGTTTTGAGCGGCTTTTTGAACAAAAATTTTCCATGGGTGGGTGGGTGTGAGTGTGGGGAGTAGTGTGGGTGGGTGAAAGAAAGAACAACGCCCACACCCACACCCTAGTTTCCGCTAGATAGCAGAAAGTCTATCACATACGCATGTCATCATCGATGAGACACGCGAGGAAGATGAAATTCGTTTTTCTTCTTTTTCTTTCGAAGGTTTCTCGTTTTCGGTGCATACTTTCCCATTTCATTCACGCTATCGTATATTTGTGTTTCAGTCACATGATCATTATTCTAACTACGATCGTTTTCTTGTCTCGCTTTCGTTTGTTTTTCTTTTTTCACAACACGCCTCTACACATATTGTAAACCTTCCTACTACGTAAAAAAAATTGTTTAGTAAGAACTGATGCTTGTTAACGTATTAGACGCAAACTATGTTTAATGAAATGATGACAAAAAATACTTTGCCAATTCTTCTCTATGGTCAGATACAGAGCTCAAATGATAACAGATCATTATCATTACATATGTACTATAAGTAGGAGAAAAATCACCTTTTCCTGATATCTGGCTGAAGCTATAGGAACAAATAAAAATCGGGGCTTCATGCCGTTTGGTTACGCTTGTATAACCAACGGATACACTCCTCTAATAAGGATGTCCCCGAAAAACCAACATAAGCAAAATTAATACTATCGATGTTAGTTTTGCTAAAAACCGCTGTCATCATCGTTATGTTCTTCATTCGATCCTAAAGGCGAGTTCGTCAAGAAGAACATAAATAGATGTTTATTTTTTATTTCTACGAGAAAAAAAACATAATCAATATCACGTACATGTACACATATGTATCAAAAGAAGAACAAAGGAAAAACATAAGAAAGGTAACACAATAGAATAAGTGACCATAATTGTCATAACACAAAGTATCAACAGTCGTAAAAACTTATCTATGAACTGCAAGGAATCGCATAGAAGACGTCTCGGAGCGCACTCTTTCCAACTACAACCCCGAGTTCCATAACCTTAGCCGATTAAAAGTTATTCAAAAATGGTTACAACCATTTATCTCTGAAACGGACAATAGTGTGGTAAAGTTAAAAACATTTCGGGATAGACAATGAACATGATCATTGTACTGTTTCCATTGCTTCACTAAGTTTGGATAGAGTTTCGTCATCATATTTTTATCCGTATTGAGATGATTTGATGTACCAGCTGTTAATACAAAAACGACGAGATCATTCATCAAGCAGTGTTATTTTTTTCTTTTAAATTACAGAGTTACTCTATTCCCTACTTGTATGTGTCCCATTATTATTTATCACATTGTAATATGTATAAAATAATTTTTATCTCGTTCTACTTGTGAATGATAGAATATATCTTAATCGTGCTATAGACGTTGTTATTGCATATAGAACTAGAAATAAGCACTCACTACCCAGAATAAGACGCTGCTTATTAAGGAGAGGAAAGTTCACATACGAAGATTTACTCTAATTGCTGGTCGTGTCTGTCACTGTGACTTCTATGAATTTAGCATTCTTCCTCTACTTAATATATCAGAAAATAGAGCACGTGTACAGCCATTTCGTTGAATCCTTTGAGTGATACTAGCTATACGTGAAGCAATTTTCTTCTTATTCGGTTTCTTTATTTTATCAAAGAAACATTCCGATACAGTAAAAAAATAGTTTTAACGGAAAAAAAGCTATGCCCCATGATGATCATATTCCAGGAGTGACGGCCAAGCGTTGGTATTCCTCATTTCTTTCCTTGTTGTGCGTCTCGTGGTCAAGCATTCCTTTGGCAAAACCTCGCTGAACTATAGGGATGTTGTGATCGGCTCGTTCATTCACCTTTTGTGCTTCGTCAAGGCGTTCTTCCTCGCTTTCCAACATGAGCAGTTTGCTCATGGTGGAGATACGTGAGGTGATTATTTGTGTGGTCGCCTTATTATATAAAGATGCCAGACGGGAGATTAAGTCTGTCGTTTGATCCATATCACCCACAAGCCAGAGCATTCTGTTCCTATCGTCGATGAACTATAATTGACAGATTATGAAGAGATAATGAGTTACAAACAGATATACGTATATTACCTTCACTGCTCGAGTAGCCACAAGAGAGAGCATTCCAGATTCTTGTGCGAGCTGTTTCCATATGGCAGTCAATGATTGTAAACGGGCAACAATGTTCGATACAGCTGTTGCATGATTAATGTCTAAAGGTGACTTGGTTGACTGTGTGGAAGTCGACGATGGTGTTGATGGCTGCACCGCTCGAAGCAGTTCCTGAAAGAAAGCGGTAACTTCTTCCAACCCTTTCAAGACTTCGTCAACAGCTGAAGTCACATCATTGCCACTCTTGGCAATGTTATCGAGCGTGCTTGGAAGCAAGATTTGTCGTTCCTGGATCGTCGCCTTAAAAAGTATCTTCAGAGCTGTGCTCAACTCTTCAGACACATGGTTCATGGTCATCCCCATACCAAACATACTCTTCTCAGCTGTTCTGAAAGCACGATCAACAACATCAGTTGCTTGAGTCAAGGTGGCCCGATAGGATGCGGGATACTTGATGTAGGTATAAGGGCGAGATGTGTCAAGTGTGTAATCTCGACGCGACATCACGATGCATACGTGAGAGAGTTCGGAGATTATCTGTAGTGGTTTGACTACGAGATCTTCCCATGCATCGATTCTCATTGGAGATGATGATGAGCTTGGCATCACAGTACTACTCTGTGAGCGGGCAAGACTAGCGATAACACTAAGTACGATAAATACGGCAAACATTGTTCTAATAGATATTGTGAATCGCAATATCGGAATGAAGAAAACGTAAAAAAACGCGAAGTATATAAGGCTTACAACAGGTGTTCGTTTTCTCAGTGCTTTTATTTTTTTTCATAGATTTGATGCATCCAACCCAGGGTATCATTTTAACGAGGGCAAAGACTACATTTTAAACGTTTTTATTTCGAGAATATGAGTGAGAGAAGCAACCAATCATTTTCGTTTGACGTCAACGAGTCTTGATCAGACCTTTAGTGCCTTTTAGTAAAGGCACTAAAGGTCTGATCAAGATCCCTTGACGTCAAAAGAAAATGTCTCAGTACTATGGGGTGTTACTTTATTTTTATTGTTGTTCATAATAAAGAATAAAGATAAAATAACAAATAAAGAATTTTTTCTCAATCAAAACAAATTTTTTTTTGTCTTGTTGAAGTAGTTCACAAAAAATGATTATAGTATACAATGAAATGTACTACGCAATAACATTTTTTCCGTATATCGTTTCGTGTGTGATCCTTATTTTTTGATGATATGACATATGAAAGTAATGATGGTGATGAAAAAGAACACTCGTTAACGTATTCTGTTGCTATACAAGATATTTGTATTTGTATGTATTACAAGAAAAAATCTATCTCTTTTTTCTTTATTTTATCTTTATCTTTACTTCATAAAAATAAAGATATTATTTATCTTTATCTAATAAAGTAAAGATAAAGTAATACCCCCTAGTTGCACTACTACCTTGAATTTCGTTTAGCTGCACTTGAGCATCACTTTTTGCTGCTTGCTGATTGAGTGTGGGTGTGGACCATTTCTTCACCCACACCCACCCCACCCCGCCCCCACACCCACACCCACACCCAATGTCTTGTTCTTGTGAAGACGGGCATCATACATTTTAAAAGTATTTCTAGAGATGAAAAGCAAAAAAGCGAAAAAAAATCGATTGTCGCTTTCGGAAACAGTTGATACTATAAAGTCGAGAATAAAAGTACATGCAGTTATTGTTTGTAAACAATTAAATTTTCTCGTGAAGTTTGAAGCATTTGTTTAACTGCGTCTGCCATTCTGTAGCCAGTCGTAAGAAAGAGCAGTGTCTTGTTTCCAAGCAACGTTGTAGCAAATAGTTCGAATCCCGTCTCATTTATGTCGTTATTATCAGATATGTCAAGCTCGGTTAGTGTCGAATTTTTTAACAAACTCTCGGCAATGACTTGTGCACCATCATTACTAATGCAATTGTTACGAATATTTAGATAAGTCAGAATTTTATTGACTCGAAGCATATCAGCTAACGTTCGAGCACCTTCATCGCCTATTAATTCGCGGTTGTTTGAAAGATTAAGATGATTAAGTGTTCGATTCGTCAACAAAAAGCTGCCGAACATAATGGTACTAGCATCAGACAGACGACATTCAGACAGCGTTAATCCTCTAAGAGTACGATCTTCTGACAAAAACTTTCCTAAACAGTCGATTCCAGCTGAACTGCATCTTATTGCACAAAGCGAAATATGAACGAGCGATGTATTCATGCGCAAAGCGTTCATCCATTGCTCTATATGAGTATCTCCAAAGTTATCGTCACCTAAATGAATGCGAGTCAGTGTCCGATTTGTCTTCAAACTCTGGCCTATTAATTCGATATCTTGCTCATTTAGTCGAATTGCCGAAATGTTCAGATCGATTAGAGTTCTATTAGTATATAACATCTTTGCTATCGCACACCCTACTTTGGCTTCAGATCTATTGTTTTCTTCCCTCGCACAGTTCGAAGTCGCGATATTAAAGTGAAGAATAGTTTCATTTATGGAAAGTGCCTCGATTATCGATTGAATACCATTGAGCGACAGTTTGTTATGCGCCAGTGAAAATCGAATAAGTTGACATGTCTTAGTAATCTCACAGAGGATTGAACTGCTTTTATCTGTTATTTTGTTGAAATCTAAGCAAAGGTCCTTTAATGTGTATTGAATCGATTGACAGAGACCATTGCCAATTATTATCATACATTCATCATCCAAATTCGACCATGAGAGATCAATATATGTCAATGTTCGGCTTGTAAGAAGCAGTGCACTCAGTTCGGTCGCAATTGTTTTACAGAACTCGAAATTTCTTCGTTCAAATTCGACTTTTCTCAAAAGCGGACTGTTTTGTAAGAAAATAAACAAATCTTTCATCTCCTCTTCAGACATTATTAATTTCGGTAGACGAAGTGAAATTAGACATTTAATCGAGGATAACCATTTGATTAATGGATTAACCTTAGTTTCGTCTTTGAAACTTCCTGATTGATATTCTACGTGATTTAGTTGCTCAATTGTGTTGCAGTTCAATGGCCAAGAACTGTTAACATAAATCTTCTTGGGTGGTCTTTGCCAAAGAGCATGAATTAGCACTTCACTCGAATCGAATGGAAAACGAACATCGACCAAATATAATGCATAATAGTTCAATCCACGGTTTAAGCATAGAATCAAATCAATTATTTTACCAGGATCCACGTGTAAAAGTCCTAATCGCTTGTCGAATTCGATACCATTCTTATGGAGTTGTCTAATTAGATCCAATTGTTTTTCTGGATAATGTTTTCTACATAACCAACGGATAGAACCATCATTATTGACAAATCGATACAAATCAGTAAAAACTCTCTGAGTAGGTACAGCCAAATAAGTTAATAATTGCGCAGTATTAACTTCGTCACAGGCTTCTGTTTTTGACGTATTCAATATTTTTTCTACTTTTTCCAAGCCTTTTTTATAGTCTTGCCAAGATACAGTGTAACTATTTTCATCATTGTATCTTTGAATAATGTGTTTGACAAGTGGCATCATGAATTCATTCAAATAGTTTTGGTACTTCTCAAAGAAAACACGAGGATTCGGTATAGAATAACCTGGATAAGTGGAGAAATGCATCTCTTCGCTTGAACATTCACAGATGATATGCAAAATATATTTATTATTCCATGGATCGACATCATTCCATTCGCATGCAGGATCAGGAAGACCAATAAATAGTTTCGGTATATCATCATTATTCTCATTGGCTTTATACACATATTCAAGTGTTCGATCTATTGATGCATTAATAGGATTTTCATCATATGTATTTTCGAAAACGCAAGGATTTATTTCTGAACTGTGCGACAATGTGTCTCTACATAGCTCATTTATCATCAGAGACTTATTTACCTGATTTTTATGATGATCTTCGTCATTTTTTTCATGCAATTTTTGATAAGCCTCGTCTAGTAATCTTTTTGTCTCATGAGACCAAGAGCGCCACCTTTCAGTGACGATCTGTTGTGTTTCTTCGATGATTATTACCGGTTCTTGATAATTTTTCATTTTTGTCTCGATGTTGCTCAAACAATCTTGGATCGATATGGGCAAAGAAAAAAAATCATCTTGTTGTTGTTTTTCATCCTTGACCTCAGGCAGCAATGATACATCATGCCCAGTTATCTCATGTCGTGCGCGGCGTATCATATCATCGCAATAAGTTGTCACAAGAACTGTATGGTGTTGTCTCATCCTTTTATCCATCTTTAGTATTTCTTTTTCTTTTTGTGCTTCCTCTAGCTGTTTCTGCGCTTCGCAGATCACATCTTTTGCACGCTGCAATAAATCACTTTGGAATCTTACCCATGATTCTTCCTCAACTACAGCAGTAAACCGATTCGCCAAGTACTGTTCGATGAGTTTATTAGGATTTGGCAGCATATCACGGTTAATGACGTTGATAAGTTCGCCCATGAAATCAGCAAGCTCAGTTGGTTGAATGAACAAATTTTTGGCGTTGCCTCCAAGTAATCGCTTCCCTCCAGATGTTAGAAGAGCTCTGATTGCAGTATTGATCGATTTCAAATATACTACTGATTCTTCCATTCGAAGCAATGTGTACATGTCAAGTAATTGATTATTTTTCATTAACACCTGTGGTAAATAGTCAATGTTGATTGTGTCTATTTGTGGTAACATACGAGTGATATATTCATATTGTTCTTTCAGTCTTTGATTGTGACCACTTGATAAATTGTTGCGCTCCTCGTCAACACTGAATATTTGATGAAGCCATTCGTCTTTCGAAATTTCGATATCGTCACCAGTATCACGATCAATGTGTAAAAACTTGGGTAGATCTAATGGTAATAGCCATATGTTTGGCAAAACATGCAATGATTTCATGACTTCGAATCGATTTAATGCATGATAGAGACGATCACATTGAAACCGATCTATACGAGCAGGACGAAGGACGACAGCAAATGCTGTACTTACAACCATGCAGAAAAAATACAAATTAGCACCCGTGTTCTCATCTAAATTATCCGTTCCTTCACAGTCGAGAATTAGAATTGAACCCTTTGTTTTTTCATCTTGATCAGGATGTCGAAGTGGCTCGGACCACATCCAAACACCTTGTGTTACTCCATTAGTACCGGCACCACTTCGAAACCAGAGTAAGTCTGTTCCAGGCGTCTCTTTTTCTAAAGCCGCTACAGTAACTGTTGCCAATTTACTTTTACCAACGCCCATATTGCCTACATAGACAATAATAGAAATGGGTGCTTCAAAGCGTTCAGCAAGAATCTGTTGTGCTTGTGAATTAATCTCCAATTGAGGTACATATTGAGGATTCTTTAGTTCTTCATCCGTTGGTGGAATACAGCGAACTAGTTGGATGCAGCCTTGCTTTTCATGCTTTTGATCATGTTGATATGCCATATCACAGAATCACTATTGATCATTACAGGTAGGAGATACAGTGACGGATAGATTGTAGCAAGCGATGTTTTTTTGAAGTGTCTCTGATTTTAGAAGTTGAAACTCACAATAATAGGTATGATTCTGTAAAAATAATAAAAGACAATATTCACGACACTATAAAATAACTTAGAATAACAATCTCGAAAAAAATATTTGAAAGTCTCACGAAACACAAATCCTTTTAGGGCATTTTTAAACAGCTTATATATTCCTACAAAGAATATACGAAACCATATCTAGTATGCATCCACCTGAGTTGTGAACGTGCCTCCTTGTTCCTGTTGTTGTTATGACAGTCAGCGTCTAGAGTATGTGAAGGTAGGATGTAGAGTATAGATGTGTATGTGTGAATGATGTTGTGGATATTGGCGTTAGTGTGTTCATTTCATCCACACTCATACTTTCACGAGCACATCATGGCCCACACCTACTACATCCTCGCTTTTGAAAATAAATGATGAGCGACTGGATTAGACCGCATTGGCTTAAATACAACATATTTTTCTCACTGATGTCTCCAACACAAAATTCTGCAATGCCAAAGTACGAAGGAACATTTTTAAAATCTATTTTCACTCTCCTTGATCGATATTCCTAAAAGTACTTTCTAATACTATTCCGCTTCCCTTAGCCTATTTCTATTTTTTCTTGAGCTATATCCGTAAAAACAGATCCTCCTGCACCTATGCCCCATTTCTCCTTTGACGTATTCTCTATAACTATAGCCTACACCTGAAATGTAAACTTGAAAACATCATGCGTCGCGATTTGTTCAAGATTATATGCATCACATTCTAATTGTGGCGCACCCGATGTAACAGTTAAACATACGACACAAAAGTGCGATGGCGTATTTTTTTTTGAAGTGCCGACTGTGCACCGTCGCTAGATTCATAAACAAAAATCGAAAATATAGAAAAGATCTTTACATCAGAACCATTATATGTGCGAGTCAATACGAACAGTTATTGTAAATGTAGTTGTAGTTGCAGTTTTAAAAAACTTTTGTCGCGAGAATCTTTGATCTGCAATTTTTACAACGTGCAAACCTAGGGTTACAGTTGATAATGTGTCGACACGAATCGCAGACCATATAGTTAGTCTCATCGCAATAATAGTACAAATTGCCTTGCCTATTCGAATTACAGTTAACATGTAACATATTATATGCACCACCGCGAGCTCCACAATTGTCACAAGGAGGTAGGCCAACTTTCCATGCGCGTGCTCTGTCCAGCGATTTATGGATCTCTTTTTCTCGTTGAAGCTCGTCTTTTTTTAAGTTCATAAGAGTCAGAGCGTCATCCAGCAATTTTTTTGTTTCACTTGCCTGAAGATGCATGTCTCTTAAAATGAGCTGGTGTTGCGCTCGTTCAATTAACGATATTGGTTCACGATAATTGCTCATTTTCGTTTCGATGATATCCAAGCGATACCGGATGAATGCTGGAAGGCTGTTAATTGCATGTTGTCGTTGATTTTCATCCTGAAAGTCAGACATCAATGTTGAATCATAGCCAAGTATTTCGTGTCTTGCATGACAAATGATTTTGTCGATATGTTTCTTGCAAAGATTTGTATGCTTCTGTTTCACTTTTTCAATTATGGTGGATATTTCTTGTTCACTTGG